GGGCACTTAGCAATTGGTTCACACTTATGACCAGTTGCAGCACCCGTGATCGCATAATTGCCATTTGCAACCTTCCCTGTCGGCTTCCACGGACTGTCAATAGGGATGCAGGTAGGGAAGATAGCAAATTGCTGGGGTGAATCTTCTCCACACACCTTCCCTAAACCCCTCTACACCTGCACTGCATTAGCCACTTCTGCATCCCTGCTCAACCTCCCAGGCCCTCACTGCATCTTTTGCTCACTCTCTGAATCCCTCACCAACTTATATTTGCACCCTCACTTACCCTACCTACCTGCACCCATGCCTCTTGCATATCCTCGCATATCTTTCATGACTCATGTCACTCCTCTCAAACACCTTCCCCAACCACTACCACACACCCACTCAGTCTCTTCCCCCCCTAGCAGCAGCCACTTACCTGGTTATCCGCCTGGAACTTTCAACTTCCTTCCAGCTTCTTTACTGACTTTGATTCTGGGAAGCCAGCAGAAAGTTGCTTTGCCTAATGACTGAGGGATCTAAACAATGGCAACTGGCACTGCAGGGGATTGCCATCATTAAGTGAAGCAGTCACACTTTACAAATGCATCATTTGACGACAGAACTTCCTATCCCAATTGCCATTGTAAGTCAAGGAACACGTGTAATCCAGTGTTAATTTAGTCTTTTCCATGAAGTTCTTAGAAATATTTCCAATATGGATGGGACATATGGTAAAAATAATTTTTGTTAATATTTAACAATTCTACCATTGTAAAAAAAAAAAAGTAATTATTGGCTGCTGACACATGGAAACATACAGAAAATGAATGGTAATTATAATGTGTTTTAAAACTACTTAATCTCTTATGAGAAATGGAGGGCATCTTTCCAGGGAAAAGTAACACCTTGTTTCTGGAGGTTAACATTGGACTGAATGTGCAGTATTCATTTTTTCTCCCTCTGACTTCTAATTCCAATAAGCAGTGCCAAAAGATCAATGAACTTTGTTCTTGGACACTAAGATTATTGCCTATGATCATGTTATGCAATTCCTTCTGCTGGGAAAAATAAGCAAGGTCAGAACAGGCATGTATTTAGCAAAAGGAATTGCCAGCTGAAGTTCCTGAATGATTAGCTAACTATTTCCGGCAAAGTGGACTTGCTGTAGTATGTTTTGTCGTAACTGCTGCCCTAGAAAATTAGGAGAAGTAGGCTGAGTTAGGTGGCTTATTGCCAAAGCCTTCTTAAAAGTGTTTACTGCTTTCTTGGATTTCAAGTTCTCAGTTCATTCAGTACACTGTTTACAGCTTCCTCCAAGTTGATGCATAATCAAAGGCCAATATCTATTCTATGATATGATAAATATTGCCTACAAAGGAATTTTAAATGTTTTGTACTTTAGCCTAGGCTACCTTTTTTCTGGCAAAAATATATATATACATTTCTTTAAAACATTGTTTAATAGTCATTTGGAGTTCAAGTGCAATCCAAAAATTATCTGGATTAAAATTATTTTACTACATCAGTGTTATACTGCTGATGCCTGTGCCTCAGGATTCATTGAACCTTTTTCTTTTGAAACAAAAAGCTAAAATATAATACTCCCCCCCCCCAAAAAAGAGAGTGTTAATTTTTGGGTGTAAGATGGTATGCTCCATTTTTGGCCACAAATGACAAGTTGTCTGCTATTGGTTGAGCTCACTAAAGCTGATGAGTCTTAAAGCACAAAACTCTGGAGGCATAAAATTATATTAACATTAGCTCAAAAGTAGAAGGAACTGATTAGTTGTGTAATCGTTATCTTAAGAGATAAATCACTAGGCAACAGCTGTGTTGTAACACTGGTACGGAATTAATGTACTATTAATATGAGTCCAGTAGTACAAAAAGGTACAAAAGAGTCCAAAATGATTACCACAAGAAAACATTTAGGATAAGGATTCCAAATGCATGCATATCAAAATACTGATAAATCATCTTCCAGAATAGATTAAATGATGCATTGGTGGTTTACTAGTTTGATCAATATATCAAACTAAATTATTTGCATAGTTCCCATTATACAGGCTATTTCACATTTCCGTGCAGCTATTCTTGTCTGTGTCACTCTTTGGAAATATGTATTTGTGAAATCTGACCTTCATCACAATTTCAAATCAATTTTCTGCTTTTTTTTTTTTTAAATCAGTTATCTGCCACATCTGTCACAATACAGATACAGTCTTTGAACTATGGATTTCTCCTTGTAGTGTAATCCTTGAAATTTGTGTTGGTGGCAAGCTATTTATTGATAAGCTAGATAGATCCTGCCATTCAAGAAAAATAAATCCTGTCATGTTTGGTAAAATGACCACCCAGGTTATTTACTGCCTGTATGAGGAGGATCTCACTTCCAAGAATTTAAAGTCTTTAGTGTTTCCATTAATTTATTTTTTTTCTCCCCGGGGCTACCCGTTCCTTCCACATCCCCCATCACAGGTTGAGAGGATTCCCTTTGAACCGTATACAAAGGAAGTGTCTGTCTTTACATTAGGATTTCCCGTTTTCTCAGTGTTATAGGATTTCCCATTTCCTCAATGTTATATTAACATATTTATTTCCATCATTGACTAGTACATGTTTCCTATGCATAATTTATGCCATTTGGGGAACATAAACACTCCTACTTACCTCTAAACATGTGTATTAGAATAGTCAGGGGTACCCACAGGGTGTGATAAAAAAAATCAAGATGGCAGCAGATGGCATTTTGACAGGGCAATCAGAATCCTGGTAGTTTTTCATGTTCATCGCACAAGTGTGCCCACACATTTGAAAAAAACAGGAGGAACTTCGAGCATAACATCACAGCCACCACCTTAACTTTCTTTGCCACACTCTGCAGATGCCCAGGGAATAATGATGACAGATAATAATTTTAAGGGTTAAAATAAAGACCAGACCATTACTAGCCATGATTCATAACAAGGTTCATATCTCATCAGATCTTCTCATTTATACTGCTTATATAAATCTAAGTATTGCTGCATGGTTTTTTTTTTCCTGAATTCAGGTCATGTGTGTATAAGACAGTTCCTTTAATTCTCCTAACAGTATCCAGGCATAAGCAGGCATTAGGAGCCCAGAGATACTGATGCAGTGGTCAATGTCCTGGTTCAAGAAGAAAAAGAATGATGTCTTAGAAAGGCTCATAGAGAAAAATGGCAACCAGTTTAGATAGGAATACAAATTATCACAACAAATAATTTAGATTGATCAAGATGGTCTATTCTGCTTCAAAGATGATCATTTTGAAGCCATTAGTCATGAATCACAACAAATACCCAAGAATGGAGACAAAAGAATAAGCAGCTTAAATCAATGGTCAAATGGTTTATAAATGACCAGTTCATTCATAAAAAAAAAGATATAGCAAGAGAGCCATGGACAGTGTTGCAAAGTCTGTTTGAACATGAATGTTTAAACAGCAAGCCATGCCTGTTCTGCGAGTAATTTAAATGAGGGTCAAGAAGAAACAGGAAAGACATGAGAGTTTGAATTCTTTGAATGTTATCTTCACTAACACTAACCTTTTGGAAAAGACCAGAGATGGATCTGACATTAAAATATATCAAAAGCTGATCAAGAGCAGGGATGGGGGAATATCCATAGGAGGGCTTTGTGCAAAGTCAGAAGCACTATCCCCTTTCATCCCAGAATGTTGGCTCCAGGTAAGGACTCAGTCTCTTAACTGCAACCCGTCTGTGATGCATTTGAAACCACGTAAAAATAGTCCAGATACTGGGCTACTTTGGAAAAGACAAAGCAATGATAGCCAAACTAATAGCAAATCAACTGGAAAGTTTCCAATAATCAATAAAGATAATTAGGTCCTTCTATATATTGGCATGGTGACCAGATCAGACAATGCATGCTACTATTGTGCAGAAGAACTAACTGCTGCTACAATAAAAAGTTATATGGAATATTTTAAAGCCAAATTGCTAGAAACCCCAACTTAAAATGTGCTGGATCTGCAGATTTACATTTCTCAAAACTATTTTGCCATTGTGCTCTGATGAAATTTGCCAAGTTCTTCTTTAGATATTCTAACAATTAGAATCCTGAGAGCTATTGTTTCACTTCAGCTATTATTTATTAACAGTTGTAAATTAACATTTCCTGAAATTCTTTCAGGAAAAGCAGTATTATCCAAAATATCCTCCTTTATTTCTGTACAACAGTTTTATTATCCAAGAAACAGGATTTGTTTTATCATTTACTATAAAGGTAGAAAAAAGATTTGGCATTGATGTTCATATTCCTTTGTAGAATAGACACTGATTAACTTGCAAGCATTTCCAGAATATGTATTTGGGATATTAATTCTGCAATACTACCCTGTCATCATACAGTTTTTTAAAACTATCATTTGTTTAAAGATAACTTGCAGCTGTTCATGAATGCTAAGCCTAGTGATATTCAACCATGTGCTGAGGGATTTCTTCTGTGCATTCAGTGTAAATCTGTATAATTTTATATTCCTCTCACTTTAAGCAGCACAAGGATATTATTGGAATTATGGCAAAGCTTAATTCCAATTTGATTAGGAATTAGGGTTCAAAGAGATTTGATCATCATTGGAAAGGCTACCAATATGACTGATTTCTCAGATGACTGGTTTTTTTCTCAGTATATTTTCAAGGGCAGAATCCATGGGAAATCTAACCTTCCCAGCAAAATATATGGAATTGTCCTCAGACTGAAAGCAGCACATTATATTTTTAATATAACTTTTTCTGTGTAGTTTAACAAAAGTTAGCCCTCATACTCCACACATTAGTTCAGCATGATGCTGTTGTAATGTGATTGATTCACTTTTAGTTCACAAGATGTCCAAATCCACACAAAGAAAAACTTCATAATAGACTCCATAATGAATGGGGCTATGTGTTAAGGTTAGCTATATATGAGTATAAATTTTATTTATTGATTTATTAGGTAAATATCCTACCTTTGATTCAGAAGCTTGAGACAGCATGTATAGCATTCTAGAATTTGACTTTCCTTGAGTTTCATCCATTCCTTAATGACTGTGCCACATGAAATCAAGGAAATAAAATCAGTTTACCAATTAAGTAAAATTAAATCAATAAAGCATTTTTCTTAAAATTACACTTTTCATAGATGTGGGGGATGTGCTGAAAGACTTGTGAAGTTTTTGACATAACAAGCTGTGTTATTGGGGGCAGTTAAATTCTAGTTCAACCAGCACAGTTTATGAGGTGACTTTGTACTCTCACCCTAATGTGCCACCCAGGATTCTTGCTATGAGAGAAAATAGGAGGAAAGGGCATTAGAAAGACGTGATTTATGTCAAACAGACATAAAGAAGCAGTGTGAAATGAAAGAACTTGCTTAAACATCTCAAGTGAGATAAAATAGTTGGTTTGCTTTTTATTGGTGCAAGGAAACTATGTGATTTATGTGAGAATGCAGATAAAATAAATATAGCTCCTTTAAAAATGTAGTTAAATATTTTAAGTATACTTTTGACCTCAAAAAACTCTTGAAAATGATGTTGTTACACTACTCCTCATAAAGAATAAATGTAACTGAAAAGTTCTGTGTAAATTATAATAATTGTGAATAATCAGCCATTTCTATAAATTTCAAAATGAGAAACAGGCAAAATAAGCAGACAGTTGAAAATGAAGGAACAGGGAGTCAACTCACGTTGCTGACCACTATAATGTATATTCTCATGAAAGTAGGTTAACTGGTGCAAAAAGCTTGACATGTTTAACCTTTATTGAAATTTTCACAGAATATTTTCTACACATTTCTTTCTAGGCGAAAATGAAATTCTTGAAACTTTAAACAGTATTGCCAGCAAGAATAAAATCTGGAGATCTTATATTGGCATGGGTTATTATAACTGCTCAGTCCCTCCAGCCATTTCAAGGAATTTGTTGGAGAATGCTGGATGGTAATGTACCATTTTTATTATTACATACACACACACACACACACACACACACAGAGAGAGAGAGAGAGAGAGAGAGAGAGAGAGAGAGAGAGAGAGAGATTCTATTGTCCATGCCAACATGCTGGAGAACTTTTGAACACCACAGTTCTAATTTACAGTGGTTCAAAAGAGGTCCTGAGAGAAAAGACTACTATTAAAAAAATAAAAATTATCTTTATATTTGCTATTTTCCTAGCTATAATGTAAAATCAGAAGTTAAATAAGTAATCCTTTTAATACATTAATTCATTTATATAAAAATTATAGATTGTGTAAGAATCTTGCTGTTACTTCTCAGAGTATTTTTATATGTATGACAGTGTTAGAAGTGACCATAGCACATAAAGCTCTTTTCTTGATATGTGCAGAGTATAAAAATTACAAATATTGAGAGATGAAAATGCTTGTTGTACCTCTTCCTATGGAGTCTAGTGTGAGAGCTACACATCACTAAGGCTGCAATGAAGTTTAGAGTACAGGCAGTGCTTGATTACAACAGTTCATTTAGTGACCGTTCAAATTTACAATGGCCCTGAAAAAAGTGATTTATGACCATTTTTCACACTTATAACCATTGCAGCATCCCCATGTGATCAAAATTCAGATGCTTGCCAACTGAGCCATATTTATGATACTTGCAGTGACCTGGGATTGTGTGATTAGCCTTTTGCACCTTCTGACAAGCAAAGACAATGGGGAAGCCAGATTCACTTAACAACCATGTTACTAACTTAACGACTGCAGTGATTCACTTAACAACCATGGCAAGCACTGCCGTAAAATGGGGCAAAACTCACTTAATAACTGTCTCACTTAGCAACATAAATTTTGGGCTCAATTGTAGTCGTAACTCGAGGACTACCTGTGCATGATTTGTTTCCCAAACCAGAAGGGCGATTCTTCCTGGGAAGAAAGCCTGTTGTGATATGCTCCGTAATTCTTTCCAGCCCCAAAAAAGCAGCCATCATAGATAGTGAGGCAGCTTGCCCCACCTTTTGTCTCCCTCTCTCCTTCTTGAAGACAAGGCGCCATTCCCCTGGTGGATTCAAGGGATGGTTTTGCTCCTCGACCACATTTTTTTTCCTTGCTACAAAACAAAAGCAGCAAGGCCTGTAGGGAAGGGGGGCTGTTGGGCAGACTGGAATGTCAGTGTTTGCATGCTCCAATTAGTCAGCTGGCAGGAACTGTGGCAATATTGAGCTTCTTGGGAGAAGGTGCAGATGTGAATCTGAGAGTTTGGTATATAAAAATATTGACGGTGTGTGTGGAAGTTCTTGTACACTGCTATTAAGTGACAAAGGTGCCTCTGTGCCCAGCTCAGGAGGACAATTTCAGACAAACAAGGTGCAACTCTTCCACACAATCCTCCTCCTTTTTGCCAAGCATAATAGGCAGAGGGAGGAATTAATACAACTGTCAGTTGGTTAAAGATTTTTATCAGCTTTTGATGATTGATTCCTTTATTTCAATTGTACAGATCGGACTGTAAAGGTCACGGTGTTAAACAAAATAAGCTTATTTTGTTTTGAGAAGATTTACAGAAGAGTTACATCAGATATCTCATTTGTAGGCACAGTCTGTTCTCTGCTATTAGCTTTATTCTAGTAATTGTTTCTCAAATTGGAATTACTTCAAATATTAGGATCTACAAAGCATTTCTGATTTTCATTGCGATTGGCCCTGAGGTCAGATGCCGTTACAATTTTCAAAACAAGTTGATTCAGCTTTTTTTTAAAAAGGTGTTTGTTGGCACAACATAGGTTATATACCAGCGGTGAAATCTATTTACCTTCGCTACCAGTTTGGGAACGGGAGTGCACGGGAGCATGCACACGCTATATGCACCTCTTCTGTGCATGCACAGAGCCTTCTGCGCATGCCCAGAGGGTAAAATGAGACGTAATGATGTGGGTGAAGCTGCCCGCCGCCAGCGCTACCGGTTCGCGTAAACCAGATAGATCCAGCTGGATTTCACCACTGTTATACAGTCATAATTAGAAACAAGAAGTTACAATAGTTGAAATCCTAAGTCACAAAATAGGGCCACCAGTCTCTTTGCCAGCTTGAATGCATACAAGAGAAAGATTCTGACCTATTTCTTACAACGTTCTCCCATTTTAAGACAATCGTCCCATTTTAAATCTTTGCCTTTACCTGTACTGGAGGCCCAGTTAACACAAGCAATAGTCCTTCTGGAGGATGTCCTGTTTTGGTTGTTGATAAGTGAAATTCACATGAAACTCAGCAGTGCAAAAGAATTATACTTAGAAGAAAGATAACAGAATAAAGGACAGCCATTGGCTGTTCAGGGTGTTATTTTTCTTAATGAGAATAGATTTCCTCTCATGATACCACATTATTACAGTTGTGTTGTTAAAAAACGAAAGGTTATATGTGTTCTTTAAGTTATTCCGAGCTGTTGTTTTTATTTATATACAGTGAAAAGAACAGGAAAAGCTTATTCTACAAACAAAAATAGCTTGGCTCAATAACCTACAAACAATTGTTAATGGCATAATGTTATGGGGCTGTGTTAGACTGAGCAACCTAGTTGTGCCTGGGTTTCTGAATGACTTCAGACTGTGTTGCCCTAGAAACTGAGCTAATTTAGTAAGTGATGTGACATGAACATAAATGAATGGGCAGAGAATTGAAAATATGCTTGGCTTCTTGAGGGACTCGACTCTTAGTCTAGACTTAACCCTAAAAACCCAGTTTACCTTCAGTCTTTATTGCTTGTGCAGTATTTATTTTTCTTGTGCTATATTTAATGTACACTGCACAATTTTTATCAGTTCTGCAATAATAGTGGTCTATGCAGTAATATTTCATGGGAAAATTGTTAAGACATAGTTCCACATTATTTAAATTGAGGTGTCATTAGGAGGGTTAATTTTTACTCTCAGATCCTGGATAGTTAGTTTAAGTGCATCTTAACTAGGGCAGTGAAGAGATCTAGGTTCAAAGGGGAATATTTGAGGGCATGCATATACTTTCTGTGAAGAATACCTTAAACTTTCTGACAAGCAAAATCAAGAGGAAAATCAGATTCACTTAACAACTAAGTTACTAACTTGACAACTGCAGTCTGTCACTTAACAACAGTGGCAAGAAAGGTTGTAATATGGGGCAAAACTCACTCACAGGATTATCTGTATGGTTCTGTAGCATTCTTTAAGTGAGGAAAAGCTTAATGGGGAAAATGTGTTGCTTTTAATAGGGTGACTCAGTATACCCCTTATCAGCCAGAAGTCTCCCAGGGCAGGCTGGAGAGCTTGTTGAATTATCAGACAATGGTGTGTGATCTCACCAGGATGGATGTGGCTAATGCCTCTTTGCTGGATGAAGGAACAGCAGCAGCAGAAGCCATGCAGTTGTGTCACAGGTAACAACCTCAGATCATAAGACTGCTTTTGGAGGATGTAAAGTTCCTCAGAACTTTAGTGTTGGGGGTAAGACTGTCCACAAGGCACAATGTTGTCAAAAAACAAAAGTCAAGATACACATAAAAACAGGTGAAGTTTTGATCACAGCATCCTGGCTGCCATCTTGAGTTTTTCCGCATAACCTGCAGACACCCTTGAATATGTAATTATATGGAAGAGACTGAAAACAGTCCATAGGCCTATATTCTAAATCAGGTGTGTCCATCCTTGTCAACTTTAAGACCAGAGGTGGGTTTCAGCAGGTTCTGACCAGTTCTGGAGAACCGGTAATGGAAATTTTTAGTAGTTCAGAGAACCGGTAAATACCACCTCTGACTGGCCCCACCCCCCTCTATTCTACTACCTCCCAAGTCCCAGCTGATCAGGAGGAAATGGGGATTTTGCAGTAACCTTCCCCTTCCACCCTTACCAAGCCACGCCCACCAAGCCATACCACGCCCACCAAGCCACACCCACAAAACCGGTAGTAAAAATTTTTGAAACCCACCACTGCTTTAAGACCTGTGGACTTCAACTCCCATGAGTTCCCCATGCTGCCTAAGGAATTCTTGAAGTCTACAGTCTTAAAGTTGACAAGCTTGGATACCTGTGATCTAAATGATAACATAAGAGAGAAACACCAAAGGAAGGTGTAATATTTGCAGAGTGGCCATTGATAATTTGTGGGAAGCCATATTTCTTGGCAAATAATATATGAGGTAATATTTTTTTCCTCGGTTCCCTCCATTCCCAACATCTGTTGTTCAGAGATATAGGAACAGAATATGCTGTTTGATTAACGCAGTTCATCACCCCTGTTAAAGGCAGCAATTTATGTAATCCACTCAGAATTCATAACAAAATCATGACTTACTTCATAGTAATTTCCCTTTTGTGGACTTTGGTAGATTGTGGGCTTGTTTCCTTTTCCAAAGTTCCTGGAAATAGAAATTTGAATTTTAGATCAGGAGATGTCAAAGCCAATTAAAAACAAGATTTTTGTCTGTATAATAACAAGCAGTGGAAACTTACCAGTTTAGAGTGAACTTTTTATGACCCATTCTGAAGTAATTTTATTGTTTTCTCCTTCCAACAGGCATAATAAGAGAATAAAGTTTTATGTCGACATCAGATGCCATCCTCAGACGATAGCTGTGGTGCAGACCAGAGCAAAGTAAAGATTGATTTAGATCTTTAAAAAAAATTAAAAAAGCAATCTGCTTGAAATTCTTTTGTAATGTAATCTGTTTTAATAAAATTGACTATTGCTTTATTTGAAACAATTTCAATTCAAGGCGATCAAGCTGACCTTTAACTCTGCATTTAATATTCTTGCGTAAGTTTCTTTTTCTTTTTAAAATCGTATTTGCTATTGGGAAATGACTTTGTCTTGGTATGTCATTATTGCTTTCCAGATACACTGGCATAAATGTAGAGTTGAAGCTACCTCATGAGATGGATTTCAGCGGTAAAGATGTCAGTGGTGTCTTGTTCCAGTACCCAGACACTGAGGGGAAGATAGAAGACTTTACAGGCTTGGTTGATCAAGCCCATCAGAACGGGGTAATTGAAGCAATAAGAATATTTCCAACCTCCATGTTTATGTCTGGCAGTGTAAATGTACCTTAGGTCAATGTCAGCTTTTCCAATCTAGTAAGTTATTGGACTCATAGCATTTCTATACCCCCACAAAACTCCCAATCTCCATTGGATCACAATAGAGGTAACTATCTGTGAAGGTAGTCCTCAACTAACAACTACCTTGTGTCGTAATCATTTGAAGTTACAACAGTGCTGGAAAAATAACATTATGCAATTATGGCAGTCATGTGATCGCCATTACAATCAATACGCATTGTTCTGGGAACAACTCCCATGGTTATCTAAATCAGCAGTTCCGGCTTTGCGGACTGGCAGCGTGAGGGAGAGAGCTGCACTCCTGCTCATCCACCACTTCCACCGCTTGGTTCCAGCCGTGGCCCAGGGGTTGAGGACCCCTGACCTTCATGATGTCTTGGGAAGCTTGGAGCCCCGATGGGGGCGCCTCACTTCAGAGATGGCTAGTAGACTAGTACAAGATCTCACCTCCATCCCATCAATGCATCGGTTTTTATTCATTTTTATCTTAATTTACATTTTTCGCTTCTAATGTCTAAATGTTTTAGTCCTATAATTGTTTTATTCTGTCATTTATAATATTGTAAGCTGCCTAAATATGCACGGCATACAAAATGTAATAAACAAACAAACATATTGGCTTCTCTTGTATCAGAGCCTGGCCTGCTGTGCCACCGATCTCCTTGCCCTCTGCATCTTGCGGCCTCCAGGGGAGTTTGGAGTTGATGTTGCTTTAGGCAATTCCCAGAGGTTTGGGGTGCCTCTTGGGTATGGAGGACCACATGCTGCCTTTTTTGCGGTCAAAGAGAATCTGGTGCGAATGATGCCTGGAAGGATGGTGGGAGTTACAAGGTAGGTTCATTTTCTGTTGAAAATCTGAATCCATGTTCTTCTAAGTTCTGAAGGAATTATACATGGACTGTGAAAAGTTCCAATCTTCTTATGTATTTTCTTCTTTTTAGAAAGCATGGAGTTGTTGTTGCTTTCTTTATATCTTTGGCTGATTTTAGATCATACAGGCAGTTCTCGATTTACAATAGTTCATTTAGTGACCCTTCAAACAGTACTGAAAAAAAATGATTTATGACCATTTTTCACACTTACAATCATTGCGGCATCCTCATGGTCACATGATCTAAATTCAAATGCTTGGCAATTGACGTATATTTATGACGGTTGCATTGTCCCGGGCTCATGTGGTCACCTTTTGTGACCTTCTGAGAAGCAAAGGGAAGCCAGATTCACTTTAAGACCATGTTACTAACTTAATAACCACCGTGATTCATTTAAAAATTGTGGCAAGAAAGGCTGTAAAATAGGACAAAACTCATTAAACAACTGTCTCACTTAGTAACAGAAATTTGGGCAGCTCAATTGTGCTCAACAGCTCAATTGTGGTCATATGTCGAGGACTTCCCATTGTGGTCGTAAATCGAGGACTTTTAATTCTAGAAGATTAATTCCCCTATAATTACTCTTCTAAAACTAAATCATGCTACTGAAATACATGCTTAGTATCCAGTTTACTTCCGTACCTACCCGTCACACAAATTTATGCGCATATATACTTAACTGCATACTGAAAATGTCAGGGAATTGCGCAGCAGCTGTCCAGATGAAGCCGGAGACACTAACACAAACTTGTAGTCTTTTATATATATAAATATATTTAACATTCAGATTTACATCAGTCTCAGTCACCATCCAGAAAGAAAAAAAACACAAGATAGTCAGGAACACAGGAACATCTTGAGGTAAATTAAACAGTATATAGGACACATACAAGAAAAAAGGAGGGGAAAAAAGGGAAACGCCCCCTTTATACTTACGCCAACCAATCATAGCGTAGATTGCCTCACGCATGAGTCAGCACTCTCTAACTAATCAACTCCAACTGTGCTTTGGCCTACTGTACACTTTACTGTTCCTAAAGCTACTAAATTCAATACCCTAACGGAAAATGAATCTGTCCTGAAGTAAAAATGGAAGAGGTGCCATTAAAGTAATAATGTTGCTGTATGTCAAACACAAAGAATTCCAGGACCTATAATAAAATAGTCTGAGGAATCCCTTTGGTTTGAGGTTAAAAATAAAACATCTTGTTTTTCCGCCATAATTAAGGCAGATATAAAAAAAATACTTGCAGAGGAAAAAATAAGTGAGCAGGAGCCCAGCAATTGCCAGTTCAGGGTTCCTTTGCACACCGAAAGGCTTCCGTGTCTTCTCTCGAAAGTTCGTTTCTCTGCATGTGTCTCTTCCCGCACACTTGATAGTTCCCTTCTTTTCAACATGTGGGTTGATGAAAAAGGACAATTGTGGAGGACATCACTGTCCAGTCCAAGCTTGTTAGTTTCCCAAGTGCGCCTAGTTAGCCAATGTGTAACACTGTGTCCAGCAAGGCTCTTATGTTCTTAATGGGAGCTCTATATCCATAGTGTTGTAAGTTTCCAGAACTCTAGGTAAGGTCAGAATGTATTTATCACAGATAGAATGCTCATTGTCCTTTCCTAAAGGACCTTATATAGTATATCCTCTGTCTCCAGCATGTTGCCTCAAGACAACAATGCGTGTGTGTGTGGACATGTTCGTTGGTTCACCATGCATTCTGACTTTCCTAGTTTTAACTTTCCTTAAGCGCTCTTCAATTAAAAACCTGAACGAGATATTAAATTGATAGAAAGCAAAGCACCAGCTTCAAGCATAATCCAGGTTTCCAACAATGCCTTTGGACCCCCAACTAAATTCTAAAGTGATTAATACAATGGACTCTAACCCCAAGTTGCTTCAGCCTTTTGATATATGTGATATTTTGTGACTGGCAACTGATGTTTGTCCATGGCATGTTCTCAAAAATGTAAAAAAAGAAAAGAAAAAGGGCCACTAGATTTGGGATGCAGGAATTCTGAACACCACTTGATGCAGCAACAAGTCATGATTTTCTGTATTTCTTTGCTGCCATCTAGCGACAATTCAAATCTATGTATCCCAGATCTGGTACTTGTTCTAAAAGAAGTTAGGAATCCTTAGTTTGAATTGAGGATTGCATTGTCCATGATGGCATAGCTGAGTAGCCTCTTTGCAGTGCCTTGTTTCATAAAATGTCAAACCATAGTATTGCATTAGGTAGCAATACTATAGCAAAAGGAAACTGCCTTGATTCAGGAATAATTTAGAGAGTTTCATATTCTAAATTATTCATTTTACTATATGTTTTATTTTACCAAAAATATTATCAATTGGGTTTTTTTTGTTAACAAAACCAAATAGCCTTTGTCTATTTAAATCAAAGAAAGTAATATATTTTTCCTTTGTGTATGTTTTAAGAGATGCTAATGGAAAAGAAGTATACCGACTTGCGCTGCAAACCAGAGAACAGCACATCAGGAGAGATAAAGCTACTAGCAATATCTGTACAGCGCAAGTGAGTTTTTCTTCAATCACTGATTATACCGTGTTTCCCCAAAAATAAGACCCTGTCTTATATTTTTTTGAACCCTGAAATAAATGCTTGGCTTATTGCCATGTGCTCAAAAGTCCGATTGGGCTTATTATCAGGGGATGTCTTATTTTGGGGGGAAACAGGATACATCTGAACTAAACTATGTTGTTTCTCTGTGTCATATAATATATGTGGGTATGTGGATATATGCATAATTTTTTTAAATTTTTTTATATTTTTGTCATGTTTATGTAGTGTATATTTGAGGTGGTGCTCCTTTGAGAGCTGTATGCAATGAAATTTCATTTTAATGTATGGCGATTAGTGTACATTTAAAGTGACAATAATTCTAAGTCTGCATGATGTAGTATCTGAGTTGCCTCATGCTTTACACATAAATTTACTTAATCCCAATTTCTGCTTCTTAGGCCCTTCTGGCTAACATGGCTGCAATGTTTGGAGTTTATCATGGTGCAAATGGATTAAAACACATTGCCAAGAGAGTCCACAATGCTACTCTAATCTTAGCAGAAGGTGAGTGAACCTTCAGACATAGGAATACCCTGTCCAAAAGGAGCAACTTTAATGTTGGAGAATTTGAATAAACTCCCAAGACTACACTGTAAATAGCAATACCAATAGCACTTAGACTTATATACCACTCCGAGGTGCTTAAAACACTCTCTGAATGGTTTACAATATCAACATATTGTCCCCAACAATCTGGGTCCTCATTTCACCGACCTCAGAATGGTGGAAGGCTGAGTCAACTTCGACCTGGTCAGGATAGCCTGCAATACTGCATTCTAACCACTGTGCCACCACAGTTCCTTTTCTTGCTACAAGCTTTTTTTGGTTGACATTGTAAGGTGTAATGATTCCTAAAATAGATTTGTAAAACAATTTAGAATAATTTGATTAGTAATATGAAGAGTCAGTCACCAATAGTCCCAGCATTGTTGCCAATAGCAGCCAAATTTATTTGTTTATATACCACCTTTTATTATTTTTATAAATAACTCAAGGCAGTGAGCATGCCAAATATTCCTTCCTCCTCTTAATTTCTCCACAACAACAACTCTGTGAGGTGAGTTATGCTGAGAGAGAGAGACTGGCCCAACGTCATCCAGCTGGCTTTTATGCACAAGGCAGGACTAGGATTCAGCTTCAAATTATAAAAAACAAAAGACATTTTG